TTCCTTAACAGCAACCCAGTATCCCTAGCTTCAGGGGCTCCATCATGCAGAAGGCAGACTAAGGGTGTGATGGCGCCGCATTGCACCATTTCCTGGCCTTTGTCATCTGCCATGCGCCAGAGCTTGTTGACAGCATCCTTCTGCATTTCAGGCGTTCCCCCTGCCAGATGCTGAACCAGGCTGGGGATGCTGCTGATAGGCGCTATGTCCCAAGCTGAGGCATCAGCTTGACCTCCCAAAAGCCTTTTGGCGATCTCCCTGGCAATCCAGTCGACGCTTTTGAGCGCCTTCTCCTTACTCAAACAGTCCAGCCAGTGGACATTGCGCCTCAGAACCATCTTTATCAAGGAGTCAGCGTCGCTGTCCTTGTCATAAGGGTGGTCCGCTCCACTGGCAGGCTTTGGGGGATATTCCTCCTCCACCTTTAAAGGAACTACCTCAATCTTGTAGTCTAGAGCAAAGCGGAGGTCTTCATGCGAGTTGAAGGGACTTGAGGTCTTCTCGCCATAGTGCTTCGTGCACACACAGAGCATGATGCCTTTCTCTGCGTAGAGCTTGTACAAGTACTTGGCGGTCATCCTTACTCGTGTTTTTTTGAAAACGGGGGGATGGGTCTCAGAACTAGGGGCGTTTATGAGAATTATACAGGCCTGCCATGAGAGCAGAAAGGTTTACAGGGACAGGGATTATAGGGTATATATTGGGGTTAAATAGGGATAATGGAAAAGAACATGGAAACTACTATAGTATAATAGGGTATATATTGGGGTTACATAGGGATAATGGAAAAGTAAATGGAAACTACCATAGTATAGGGTTACCTAATCATGATTGGCATCTTCCCAAAGTCGTCGCCAAGCTTTGCATCGACCATCAGCACATTGAAATTCCAATCCAGCAGCTGCTTATGCCTCAGTTGCCCTTGGTTACTGGTTCTTACTAGGGAATAAGGGAATATAATCCCTAACGAACCCCTATACAGTATGTCCCCATGTTCCCTACTAAGGATCAGTAAGTTGAGGATTGGGGTTTGAATTGGGTTCGGTGTTTCTGGGTTTTGAGGCTTGTAGGGTTAGGGCCCAGGTTGGTTTAGGCCAAAACAAGGGCTGAGGCTACAGGATCTCCGATTTGAAAATAGTTGCCCTGAATACACACCTAAGCCTCGGGAGTACCGCAGAGACCGGGCGCCCGAAACCATCAGATTCTTTGGGAAAGTGAAAGGACATCTAAGCACATAATCCACTACAGAAGCTTAGCTACAACAATAATCCGGTAGCGGGCAGAAGCCCGGTAAAATGAGTGCCCACAAGAAGGACACTTTAATCTGAATGGTGCTATGTGTTTGTTTTGGGTGTTGAGGTTAGCCAGTAGCCGTGCTTCTGTACAAGGACCTACAGTGGCGAATGTTCCAACTTCTGCTCTCCCTCTTCAGAAGAACTCGAATCCTGAAACCAGCAACCGACGAATGCTTTGTATTCACTCCTCCTGCAAATTACTGCTCAATCCATACTTCCTAAAACTGCGGATCTCGATGTATGTTCACATCACTACTACTTAGCCAGTGCTTCTACCAGAGCCCGCACGTATGGAATGGACATCTAAGTTGTACGCTTTCGTCTGTTTCAAGTACTTTCTTGCTTGCATTCGTTGCCAAAATTTCCCAGTGACTCCACTGACTACTTCTGCATCGCGCTCGATCCTGTTTGCGCTGATAACCTCATATGAGCTTATATACTCCCCAAACAAACCGCATATAACCCCCACATAATCCGCATATCATCCACCGGTTAAGCCCCATGCAACCTCGACATAGTTCTCACATAGCCCCCACATAACCCATATAACTCCATGTCATCCCCATATGCTCCCAATGAAACCCCGTATAACCCCATGTAATCCCATACAACCCCCATATGATCCCAATATAACCCCGTAAATACCCATATAATCCCCATATAACGTTATATAATGCCTGTATAGCCCATATAAACCCCAAATAACCCCTATGAGTCCTATGAGGCTTGCTGCTCAACTTGGCCTTCTGAAGCCTCGCGCATGATTTTTGCTTGCACGTTGCGGTTGCCTCTTGTTTGCCCTGTTACTGAGTTATTGCCTCATGTTTGCCTCATTGTTGCATTGTCTGCGCAGTTTTGTTGCAATTGGTGTGTTAGTGTGTAATGTTTGTTTCGGTGCTTGTTTTCGCCCCGTTGCCTTGTTCTTGGCGAGAAGCAGCCAACAGCGTGCAACAATAAGGCAGACAGAACATGAAAACAAATCAAGCAAAAGTACTGAAACAGTATGAAACAGCAAAGCGAAAGGAAAGCCCACATAAACAAGCTCACAAAACAGCAGAACGCCTGACTTTCAACAAGACAGAGCGACTAAAGACGTGTCACATATGAATCAGCAAAAACGCCAAACTGGCAAATAGGCGAATGCAAACATACAGCAACCATGAATCAGCTAGCAAACCCTAATCCGTGAATCTCAGGTAGTAAATTCTAAGACCCTAAACCCCAAATCCAAGGTGGTAAACCCTAAAGCCCTCAACCCTAAATCCAAGTGTAAAGGTGCACTTTCCGCATCATCTGCTCTATGGGTCCGTCGTCAAAGCGTGCCGAGATCATGCCAAGCCTCGGGTTTCGAGATCGGATTTAGGGTTTAGGATTTAGGGCTTGGGGTTTAGGGTTTAGGATTTAGGGTTTGGGGTTTAGGATTTAGGGTTTGGGATTTGGGTTTAGGGTTTGGGAGTTAGGAATTAGGGTTTAGGGTTTATGGCATACTACTTACTGGTTCTTATGAGGGAATATGGGAATAGAATCCCTATTTAATCCCCATCAGTAAGACCACGTTCAAGTATACCAAAAATACTCAAACATCTAATCGGGATGGAGATAGCCAAGAGAGATTCAATATTCATGATACACTAAAATATATTGTATTTTGTACTGTACTAACAGATACTATATTCATGATATAACCTAATAAAGACCATATATTTATACTGTACTATAATATACTGCAAGGTATTAAAGCATACTGAAATATTTTTTGTAATAGGGATGGTAAGGAAGAAGACCAGTACTGGCCGTGATGAAGATGATGCTGGGGGAGGATCGTGGTTTCAGGACAGGCATTTGTAAGGTTTTGAGGCTTTCACTTGGACGTGGTTTGGAATTGCTCCGAAACTGTCATTCTTCTGAATCCCTATAAAACCCATTATGGTAGTTTCCATTTTCTTTTCCATTATCCCTGAATAATTTCTATAATACATTATTTGGAGTTCTGAATCCCTATATAACCCATTATAGTAGTTTCCATTTTCTTTTCCATGATCCCTGAGTAAATCCCTAAATCCCCCTACACGGAGTCCCAGTCGAAGGAAGCTCCCATAGAACAAGATGCCACAACTGTCAGCCACATCCAAAGCCCAAAGCGATCAAACATCCCTTCATCTGTGGCCTCATCCCAGGAAGAAGAAACTGGCAGACATCGACATTGAACATGAAATAAACTTTGGCGACGTGCGGAACCTTTGAATAAATTCGGTTTTGTAGCCAGGTAACTTGCCTCGGCGAGGTTCCTCCCCCTGCCGTGGTTTCTCCGCCGCAGAATCCTCAAAGGGTAGTGTTGCAGTTTCAGTCACAGCAGAAGATGCTGCACAAGAAGGTAGATGCCTGTACACATAGTGTAGGAGCCTATAACTAATAGTCATTTAGTAGTCAACTCAGGGAGATGCCCGTTATGGCGAGCTGACTTCAGGCGGGAGAGGAGGGGACAAGCGGCCAGCATTTCAACCTGAAAATGGAACCATAAATGGGGGTGTCCCAAAATCAGGGGCACCTATGGTTGGGGTTCTTTATAATAAGGACTTCAGTACTTGGGGGTCTATGTTGGGGCCCCTATTTCTGAAAACTACCAAGTCAGGTCAGGTCCCCACCCGCCAACAGTGCCAATGCTAGAGAGCAGTGCTTACATTCGGGCCCCTTGCATTCCTGCAATACTGTACGACGCTTTCTGGGGAGGGTCAACCTAAACTATCAATCCTTACTACTAATACTCTGACTACTAGTGATACTATTACTAATAGCATTACAATTATTGCTCTTCAGCAGCTGAGCGCATGTTGCATCCTTTCTGGAAGCAGAAGATGCCCAATTAGCCGAGCAAGAAGCCAAGGGCATGAAGGATCAACCGCTTCACGTACACTTCCCCATCAATAATACGCTATATGGGGTTTTCCCAAAATTAGGGGTACCTTTTTAGGGGTCCCAATAGTAAGGATCATAGTATTTTGGGGTCTATATTAGGGTTCCCTTATTTTGGGAAACTACCATATTAGAATATGTCAGATATGTCATACATAGACATACACTGAAACATTACCATGATAAATACATTCACACATGCATGCATTGCCAATGTCTTGAGAACATCAGAATATCTATTGTAGGGGGATTGCATTTTCTCAATCATGGGGGAAAGGGGTCATCGACTGGTTATCGGCCGTCCCCCCTCGCTGTCAGTTCAGAACCAAAGTTACAACTTCCTTGAAGAGATGGGTTTAAACCCTAAACCCCTAAACCCCTAAACCCCTAAACCCGAGTTTCTCAAAAGGCTTGGGGGGCTTTAGGGATCCAAGGGTTCCACAGGCTCTATCAAGGGAGTCTGAGGGGCCCTGCTACAGGGGCCTAAACTGATCACCAATATCATTTTGAGGTCCATTTGAGGTGAACGCGGACAAGAGTCATTGGCGTTTGAAGGTGAGACGGAGTGTGTATTACACTCAAGTCGGTTCGGTTAACAAGTTAGAAGGCAGAAGGCAGCAAGCAAAGAAGGAGAGTTCAAGAAATTTTGTTCAGGACGTTCTTGAGATCGTTAAGGATGTCCTCGAATTTTTGCATCCATTCAGCAGCCAATGAG